TGCCTCTGCTCTGTGTCACCTTTGTACTGATCCAACCCGCCGTAGATTCCGAGTGTTCTATGTTGCGTGTTCCGAGTACGTCTGTTCATCTCTGCATCGATATGACATTGAACGAGACGCGAATACAGATTCTTCGGGCTCAACGGGGGACAGGAGTGAGTCTATTAATCATCCAGCGTGCTTTGAAAGATGCGTAGCTAACTGTCTGCTGACAATAGATGGGGTGTCGGGCATTATCTCTTCAAGGCAAAAGACCTGCAGCGGTAGTCCATCCACTTGTCGATCGTGTCTGACAATGCAGATTCTGTGGTCAAAAATCTTTGTCGATGGCTCTAACTCAATACTATGGATATAGCACACTTGCCGCCGGCCTGCTACAAAGCTTCCAAGTCTGTGCTTGGATGTCTTAAGTGGTGACGCGCTCAAATCACGTTCGCATGAAAGACTCAAAGTCAAGGACAGCGACCTAAGAAATTCTTGTCGAATGTGCGTAGCCCACTTCACTACTGGCGTGGTCATTCTTAGACAATTCCGAGGTATGATATGATTAAATAGATTGTTTCCAAAGGAGCGACTAATGAGTATGCAGTGAGATTGTCCGTGGCCCGGAGGCCCGTAAGTAGTTTCATGCAACCATGGATGAAGATATATCATCTCAATCATCCCGAGGTGGCCGTCAGAACAATTTGGTACGGCGTCCTCTCGTTCAGCGCGTCGACGTATTTCACTAGACGAGGGCGAGAAATTGTCAGGAACAGCGGTACGCGGCACGGATGTCTAGCAACTCACGCTCGATGGCTTGGTTTCCGCCCAAATTAAACGCCTCGGTGGAGTAGTATCCCGGCGACGCCTTGTCACTGTGCGCCTTCCCCAAGAAGGTTGCGTTGACAGGAAGTTGGTCAGTGCCGTTAGTCTTTCTGAAGGACTGATTAAATGCAAGGTCAGCATCGTCTTTCCATCTATCGTGATACCGGGGGAGCATACCCAGAACTGGCTAACGAGCGAGTCGTCGTCCGTAGTAATGCAGGCCTGCGCCGTGATCGTTGCTTGTTCCGATTTCAGGTCGTCGACGGTGAGGCAGTTGCTCGTATTATACGCCTTCCTAATTTGTCTGTCAGTCTCCTCGTCAGCTCATCCCTTCGACCGGCATATATATTCAAATGGAAAATCTGCTCACCCGAAGGACAGGTCGTCGGAGACGGTGTATCCCAGGGCCTTGCTGTCGCACTCGTACCATACAAACTGGTCGTGAACCTCGTTGAACTTCTGGAGGATCTTGCGGCCGTTGGCGTCCTTGACCGGGTCGAGGCCGAGCAAAATCCCATCCGAACCAACAGCAGGGGGGTTAGGAGCCTGCAGTGTCGTATACAGATGCAAGTCGCCCGTGCCTTTGCGCGAGCACGCCAGCTGATGCACAATGAGAACACTGGTCAGTACGTAGCTAAATTTGCGTCGTATGATTAGCACTTACATCTCTTTTCGCAATTACTTGCGGAGCACCAAGGGCGCTGGCAGAGAGTGCGAGGGCAACGCCGAGGGCTTGAATGAACATTATGGGGGACAATTAAATGGTGCGGCTGGTCCAGGGAAGGGTATAGAAGAACGAACGGAATGATTTCACTACTTGGTGGTATGTCAGTACCAGCTCCCCTCTATTTGTATGAATAATGCACGGGCACATACGGTCATTGAGGGAGTGTTGACCGTCGACAGTCGGTGTCCCATGTGCACGAATACTGTGGGGGACTCGACGGGTGCCATGCAAAATGAATTGATAATAATGATTTGCCACCGTAGTTCGATGGGCTCTGGTGCACTCCGGGTCCATCTTTCCTGATGATGATCCTTGGATGATGCAGAGACTGCAAGTATAACGGATGCCTTGGCGGTGTGGAGCCTACCCACATCAATTTCACCGTACCACGCGCTCCCCGTGTCTAAACGTTGAACATCAGGTCCTTTGACCCGCGCTTCGCATCGCAAGTGATGGGGCGAGTAAACCACAGAAATGTGCATTGCATTTGCTCTGGAACTCACATGACGGGGGATCTTGTTCGCGTCTGTGCACTGAAAATCAAGGACAGTGACTCAATGATCGCAGTTGAGTGCGCGTAACGCGTTTTGTCGACTTGTTACTTGCAGTGTAATGGTCCTGTCCTAGGTGTGAATAGATAGATTGAAAGCAAAGGAGCGACTAATTATGGTGAGATATTGTCCATGGCCTAGAGGCCTGTAGTTTCATGCAACAATGCATGGAGATGTACCATTCCATTCATCCCGACGCGGCCGTCAGAACGATCTGGTACGGCGTCCTCTCGTTGTACGCATCGACGAATCGCACTGGACGAGAGTAAAAATGGTCAGGGATAACGCTACCAAGCACCGAGGTCTGTGGAAAACTCACGTTCGACGCCCTGGTTTCCGCCCAAGTAAAACGCCTCGGTGGAGTAGTATCCCGAAGAGGCGCTGTCGCTGTGCGCTTTGCCCAAAAAGGTTGCATTGACGGGCAGGCCATCGGCACCGTTAGTCTTTTTGAAAGACTGGTATTGAAAGAAAATCAGTATCTTCTGTCTACTTGCAGTGGTAAGCGTACATACCCAGAACTGGCTGACGAGCGAAGCATCGTCCGTGGTAATGCACGGCTGTGCAGTGATAGTCGCTTCGGTCGATTTCAAGTCGTCGACGGTGAGGCACTGGCTCGCATCCGACGCCTTCCGAATTTGTCTATGTACCTCCCTGTCAGCTCGTCCTGTGAACGGTTTCGGCCAAAATTCGCACCCGAAGGATAAATTGTCGGATACGGTGTATCCCATAGCCTTGCTGTCGCACTCGTACCAGCTGAACTTGTCGTAGACCTCGTTGTACCTTTGGAGGATGGGGTGGTTGTTGGCATCCCTAACCGGGTCGAGACCGAGCAGAATCCCATCCGGACCGACAGCAGGGGGGTTGGGAGCCTGCAATGTAGTATAGAGGTGCAATTCGCCCGTGGCTTTGCTCGAGCACGCCAGCTGAAGCACGATTAGAACGGTGGTCAGCATATAGAGGGACCGGCGAGATATGCATGCCACCCACATCTCTTTTCTCGATCAGTTGCGGAGCGCAGAATGCGCTGGTAGAGAGCGCGAGCGCGACAGTGATGATTTGCACGAACATTATGAAAGACGGGGAGCTAGTAGGGCGGATATGGGTAAGCAAGGAAAGAGAAGGAGAGGTGAACGAATGGAGGGATGTCACTATCGAGTAGGATGTAAGTAGTTTCCTTGTCTTTATACGAAAATGAGACGGGCACATACCACCGTCGACGGCGTGTTGACCACCTGCAGTCGGTGATCCAGAAGTGCTGTGAGAGGGCTTCCTAGCTGCTAAGCATTCATATTGGTGGCCGGTTTGTCACCGGGCGCCGATGCACTACATTTTCCTCGTAATGCAGGCAAAGGCTGCTGGTATGGCAAATACCTTGGCGGAGCCTGACACACATCAGTTTCACCGTACCACGCTCGAAGTGCTTCCCATCATAGAGGCGGCGAGAGTAAACCGCAACTTCGCTGTACATCATCATATACACTCTTCGACTTACAACGATAGTGTGGTATTCGGATACGTCAACCTACAGCTCAGAAGGAATGTCGTCCGCGAAGATGGCAGTCTTGGGAATACCGTCTGGGCGTATCACACCACGATACATTCCAGAGCAATTTAGCGGCATTGCAGCTGGAGATCGTGGTGAGCATGCAGCACACATGTGACTCAAGCCAAAATGCGAGACTCACTCTTTCCGTCGCGGTCGACGGCGATCACACCTCCATCCCCGTTGGCCACGCGCAACTCGTCCACGACGGCCTGGGCAGCCTTCTCGACCGGCTGTCCCAAGAACTGCATTCGCCGTGCGAGGGTAGATGCTGTGGCGTGCCGAATAAAATGGTCGCCGTCGCCGGTCCCGCTCACAGCCACACCAACTTTCTTGCCTTTTCGCCAGGGAAGCCACGATGTAGGCGCGGGCCACTCCTCTGCCCAGAAGCCGGCGCCCATGTGCGGCGTATCGCCCACGCGCCCTGCGAGCTTGTTCGTGCGCCCGCCGGTGCTAGTCGCGCTCGCAAGGCAGCCATTCACGTCCAGTGCTACGGCACCTACAGTGCCTTTCGGTAGCAAGTCAGGATCAAAGTCCTCGGACGCGGGTTTATCGTCTTCGGACGGGAAGGGGTAAGGCTCGTCGGGCAGACCGAGTCCGCGACGATGCTCGATCCAACGCTTCGCGGTGAAGAAATACGACGGGTCAACGGGTGGGATGGTGCTAAGAGCTTCGGCAGGGGCGCCCGAAAGAAACGCGTGAGGCACAACATCAGGGGAGAGATAGAGTTGTCGAACGAGCTGGGAAGGGTTTCGTATCGATGTGAGGAGCGTCAGCCCAACTCCCCGACGTGTACCGGGGACCTCTGGGTGCGTCAGCGGCGGGCGGGAAAGCATCAACGATGCTTCGAGTTCATTCTGTGTGCAAGCCAGGATTGGCGAAACATACGATCATCAGCGTTTCACACGCACCTTTCCCTCGACATTGAACACGGCACCCTTGCCTGCGTTGAATAGCGGGCAATCTATTAGCATGTCATGTCAATGTGGTATCTCCAACGCGTTGTATCTGGAAGAAAATACCGCACCTTCCATGTAGCTAACGGCGGCTACAACAGCGTCCATCGCCTCACCACCTGCATTGAGCACTTCGTATCCCGCGCGCAATGCGTTATTGAGAGCAATTCTGTATTGCGCCTGCTGTTCTGGCGTGGACTTGCTCCGGGACATCGTGCCTGCGCCGCCATGTATCACCAACACGAAATTCTGGCGTTTCTTGGGCGACTTCGTCGGGAGGAGAGGCTCTTTCTCCATGGCGGTGGGAAGCAAGAGCTGGAGAATGCACAGCAGGTTCACAGCTCGACGATCAGTTTCGACATATCGTCCAGAGACATCCTCGGATTACGGCGGTCAAGGAGGACTTAGAGGCCATCGTCACTTTGCCGGAGTGGTTAACGGGATCGCCTGCTATTATTAGCTCCTTAGCGGTTGGGCTTTGCCCGCGAGTGTTCGAATCGCTCAGGTGACGATTTGTTTTGCAGGAAATCCACTCGAAAGCGACACCGATAGTTGTTTGGAAGTTTTTGGAGCGAACGAGCATGGATAGAGCGAGGGGATGTTTTTGAATCAGTGAATGAGCTGCCAGTAAGCCTGACGACTCGAGATGTTCTGAGGAGACGTTCTTGAGGACTTGGGAATTTCAAGGCGCGACGCGTTCTCTCTCTTGTACCGCCAACATCTGCAGTTGTTCGTTATTCCAGTAGAGCATCTCTCATTCTATCATACTATAGGTCCAAGGCTGCTGATTCACGCACAAATACAGATCTCATTCATAGGGCTCATTATCGCTCGCATCTCGGTCGACCGTCGAAATATTCGTGAGTCTCGAATTCACTTAGCACCAAGCCGGATGCTTGCTGATGGTCGTGCGATGCCAGATATGGGTACATGCGATAACTGCGGTACCCCTACGAGGGAGGAGACACCCCCACTACCAGTTCACCCTCTTCCAGATCTACTCGAGACCAACGACGTACCGCAGACGGCGGATTTACCCCTCGTCCGCCACGATCTCCTTCACACCGAGACGCGTCTGTCTGTGGTCAAGGCCGAGGTGCCTCGGCTGCAAGATATTCTATCTCGACTCGCGTCCGAAGAACAGGCTCTTGAGAAACGTCTCAATGCGAACCACGGCCTCATTTCCGCGCTACGCCGGCTCCCAAATGAACTGCTTTCGCACATCTTCATTGATTGCCTTCCTGACGAAATCGAAGACATCCATCCGATGGTGCTACGCCTAGGAGGCGTGTGCCACAAATGGTGGACAGTTGCATTGTCAACTCCGCAACTGTGGACATCGGTTTACCCGGGACGACCCCGCCGCCGTGGGCGTTTTTTCGCGGTGAACGTTTGGATTCAACGCTCCGGAAGTCTACCACTATCATTGAAGTATAACCACCGATACACTCCAAAGCTCGCACGCCTAATCATATCATACATCTCTCGCTGGGAACTCCTCGACGTTGTACTTCGACTTCCTCATTTTCGCGAAGAGCTCGCCAAGAGCGGCGCCGGCGCCTCTGGGGGGTTTCCCTCCCTACGCTCGCTTTCAGTCAATCTCATCTACGAAACTGACCCTGCTTGGGATCTAGGACCGTCGCCACTCCTACGCGAGTTATCCTACATCAACGAGGCTAGTGTTAGCTCCATAGTCAACCTACCCTGGGGCCAATTGACACACCTGACTCTGCGTAATCGAACACCTCGCCAATGTTTCTCGATTTTATCGGACGCTACAAATCTGGTTGAATGCACTCTGATAGACATCAGGGACTACGACGAGAATTGGGAGCGAGAAGAACCATTTGCGATGAGTCCAGTGCTACTTCCGCACTTGCGGCGCTTTCATATGGCTTATTCCAGTCGTGGAGCGCATTCGGTCGTTCTTCTCTTCACAATGATGACCGCACCTGCGCTGCAAGACTTCGGGCTTTCATGTTCAGGATCCGCTCCTCCGAATTCTTTCTTGTCCTTCCTGGAGCGCAGTCAATGCAAACTGACTCGTCTCCTGCTGGACACTATTGACATCCCAGAAGGCGAATTCATAGAGTCTTTATGCCGCCTTTCCTCCCTCCGTGAGCTCGACGTTGCCTCTTCTTCGGCGTTCGGAAATCTGGCCATCTCCACCATGATACGTGTCGACAACTCTCCCAACCTTGACTACCTTCCGGCATTGCAGATCTTGAACCTCTGCTACGTGGAGATCGACCCCGAATGCTTAGCCAAGATGCTCCGCTCGCGATGGCGGCCCGGCGGAGACCCTTTCCCGCAGGCTCAGCTTGCGAAGGCTGCGCTTGCGCCTCTCAAAAGTGTGCAATTTTATTATGATGAGTCTAGCACTGTTGCTGGGGAAAGCAAACTAGAGCCGCTCCGCGCGCTCAAGCGTGAGGGATTCGATATAGAACTCCCCGAGCTCCCAAGTGACACTCCGGCAGGCGAGGCGAGCGTCTTTCATCCTAATCTCATCCACGTACCTGCTAACGTACGGATATCTTGACATGCAGCCCTCGGGTTCTGAAAGCGATTTAGCGTGACGGGCCAGAGCTTGTAGACTGTATGTATGTCATGCAGAATTGGATATCTAGCCAGCTAGGAATACAGCATTAAACGGTGAATGCACCGTGGACATGTAAGTTCACCAACATTGTTAGGCCTCCTCTCGTGTGATGTGAAAGTCCAGTCCTGATGGCAGACTCGGATACATTCTGGCTCAGGAGCACGTCACAGTTATATTGACTGTGCTTGCCTCCGTAAAAGGAGCTCGCTAGCAACCCAAGCGAGGGCGTCACTGACCGCTGATTCTGGGTCGAACCTATGTTTCAGCAGGTCTAGCAACTTTCATCAGTATGAAGTCCAAGAAATCGGCAACAGTGTTTGACACTTACATTCACGCAGTGTTGCAATACTTAGCTGCTCGTGTGGAATTGTGTCCGCAAATCTTCGTGCCAGCTTTGTTATCCCCACTTCGTCAAGCTGCCGCTCGCCCTGTGCGCCAAGCTCGACAGAGTCTCCAAACCCGTATTGGGTCGCAAAGACATTGCAGAAGAGCTCCTCCGCCTGCCACTGGGTCGCGTCTTTGAACTCTAGCCAGACATCCATGCGGCCAGAGCGCGATAGACTGGGATCGACCCATTCCAGGTGAGTGCAAGTCCTAGGAACCCGCCGAAGATCAGGCATATACACGGCATGAACAGGACGACGGCATACGTGAATGATATGCAACCCTCGGTTGACACCAAGCTGTCAAGTGCCTTGATTATTCCATCTACAGTCAACTGCTGCACGAGTGACGCCTCCTCTCCTACTCCGGAGGGCGCGTGGCTGGGCTGCTCCGAAAGCGCAGTACCGTCCTTCCGGGCTGCATGGTGAAGTGTTACGTCGATGTCCTCAATAAGAAGTATAGAATTCGGCGGAATCTGCTGCAGCGACTCGTAGAACTCCATGTCGGAGATTCCATGAGTACCCGTTCCCAGCGAAAGGACGCATACATCGCGTGCCATTTCCGCGGCAATCGCGTACACCAGCGACGACTTGCCAGAACCGCGAGCACCGTGCAGGAGGTATCCACGGCGAAAGGGAATCCCGCGCTCCTCATACCACTGCTCACAATAAACAATGTGGGTAAGATATCTGCGTGTACATAGAGAGGGAGACGTACCTGCTGGCCGTTAGTGAAATCTTTGAGGTCAGCCAAGAGCAGGTCCTTGATGTCAGGCACAAGCACAATGGACGATAAGGGCAATTTGGGGCGGGATTCGTGCCATTTCCATCCCGCGCGGGGGTCGAAGCTGTGGATTTGGGTATGATGCATTATCTCTGCCTCGTAGTCTCCTTTAGCTTGGAGAAATATCTGGGTGACGATGGAATGATTGCGTGCGACCACCCTGCGTAAAGTGCTCATCAGGTCACGATACAGCTCTACGGATTAGGATTACCTACCTTAAAGCATCCTGGGACATGTACCGGAGGATGAGCTCTGTATTTAGTGGGGTTTAAAATCTTAATAGTCCGCGGGCGATGGGGTACGTACTGATGCTCTCATCGTTGCTAAAAATTGTCTGTATCTCATCCATCCTCCGTCCCCTCAGCCGCTGAAGCACGACCTCATCAGGCGCACGATCCAATTTCGGTCCACGTCGGAAGTGGCTTCTCTTCCTGATTTTGACTGCGTATAGACTGCCACTAGAGTGGTCGACAGTTTTGAACACTGTTGCGAGCAGGTTTCTGCTCAGTCCGGGAGGAAGCGTAACAGACACGGGCGAGTTCAGTGCTGTTGCCTTGTCTGTGATAGGTTCAACGACAGGAACCTTGGAAGAATCCGGGGCGAATTCTTTGTCAGGGAGATATACGCTCGCCACTGGATTGTTTGTGAGCAATTTCGTCGCAATGCAATGGTGCTGAGGAAAGACAAAGAGACTGACCTCCATCCGCATCCACTGTCACTTTGGGTTTTTGACGGGCTAAAAAGTCACCCAAGCTCTCCCCAGGTTGGAGGTCGGAGTCCTTGAATATAAGTATAAGCATCTAAAGTTGAGTCTTAGCGGTGGCAGAAGCAGGTTTATCACCTACCTTGATCAGAGCGGTGCAATCATCGTCGTGAAGAATGCATGTAGAAGCGTCCGAGTTCTGTAAAAAACGATCAAAATGCTATCTTGCTGTGGACACAAAGAATGGCTTACCTTGAATATATAGTGCGCTATACAATCTAACGGGTCTATATCCTGGACGAAACGGCGTGAGTAAGTGCATAGAGTGAAACAACAAGATCACAAGTAGTACCGGGGGCATGTCATCGTCTACAACGTATGCAGAATCGACATCGAGCGCCTCCGATGCAACTAGTGCACCTCCTGCAGAGGCATCATGGTCCGAAGAATCCCCATCAAGGTCCACCGCTTCTGCGGCCGCATTCATAACTTGCGGAAAGAAACCCAATCGCTTGCGAATGCGGAAGCCGCGCACAAAGACACATTGATCGAACATTGGACGGACATCCTCAGTGTCCGGAAATTCCAGTAATGCATTTCCTTGGGGAATGTAGCCCGGAGCCGCAGTGACTTGCGGCCCACAAGTGTGATGGACAGACCCGTTGAATGCCCATTTGCCCCATACGGACGCCTGCAGGGATGCGATGCCGGTGGCTTCAGCGCTGAATTTGACATCTACGCTGCGTCCAAGGGATGCGTAGGCCAGCATCGCAAAGTCTAGTGTAAGGTCTGTGCCGGTGACAAGGATGGGGTTGACCGCGCCGTGTCCTTTGTCCTCTGCAAACTGCACCCATGATGAATGGTGCTTTCTCGTGTACTTCATGCAGCTTCCCTTGAGCTCCGCGTTGCTGCGGTACGTGGGGTATCTGGTCAGCAATATGGCACCCTTGTCGCTTGTCAGATCGAATTTGAAAGAGGCGCCTGCTTGCACAAAAGTCCTGGATCCGTGTCGTCGTCAGTGAGGGTCACGGCATATCCAATT